TTCCAATTTAAAGTATTTTCATTAGAAAAGCTTTTCTGATTGTTTGTCCGTTTATACTTTACACTAACATATTTTTTTTTACTTTTTTATTTAAATTTTAATTATCCTTACGTTGTTTCAAACATTGTATATTGTTTTAAATAGTATAAAGATTAAAGAATGAGCCATTAACTTGTCTTAAACGATACGGGCTTAAAGTTATATAAATACACACAAATAGTTTGAAACAATAATTTTAAAGAAATAAAAATATTGTCTTCTAATATCTTATGAATGATTTACAAACATTAAAAGATTACAAGGTTAACATTATTAAAATGTTTAGTAACATTTTTTATCATTTCTTATTAATTTTAAGCTCAGAGAAATAAAAAGAATTTAAAATGATTTTTTTAAGTCAAAGCGATAAAAAAAATGACAGTAAAATAAACCACTTACAGTGTATGGTGCTATTATAGTTGGTAATTATGATTTACCAGAAAATAATGATCTGTGCGGAAACACAAAAAACTTACTGAAAAGTCATCTTCCATAAATATATTTAAACAAATGGTCCGATTTTGTTAATCGAATAGTATTCTAAGTATTATTTTTATCAGGAGACTTTTGATGCAGCACAAACTATATGTGTAATGAATCGAATAACACTTACAAAAAAATAACCATTTTAGAAGAATATTCATAGGAATTATTTTAAAATTAAAAGTGTACCTACACCTTTGTAAGAGTCGTTTTTATACATATAAAAAAATACTCAATGTAAAGTATTAGTGGCAGAGAAAGATGGAATTTTTTATTAATTCCGGATTTGTCATGACACGGGCGTAAAAGTGGTAGAGGAAATATTAAGTATCGGAGGCAGAGAAAGATAAAATTTTTTATTCATTCCAGATTTGTCACGACACGGGTGTGAGAGTGGTGAAGGTTATGTGAAAGGGCACTTAAAAGTTAGCAGGGAGAATTGATGGGGCCCAAAAACGAACAAAAGTTATAAAAATAAGGAAAAAAACAAAAGACTTTTCCTTACTTTGTGGGGGTCAGGCAAGGGGAAGCTGAGTAAGTATACTTGGACAGCCCTGCCAAATGAATTGTATGATGTATCAAGATATGTATACCAATTGCTACTATATATACTTGTGGGGCTCCACCACTTTACGCTCTGCGCACTATCTTCCAATTTTTAATCTCAGTTGAATCATGCATTTTTCCAGTTTACCTTTTTAAATATGTGTAGGGTAGTTTAAGAGTCAAAGCAGAAGAGTGTCAATTTCGTAAATACTTTTTCATAAACCTAAAAGACAGCTTTTGCCTTGTTTCTTACATTCAAAGGTAATAACATTAAAAGCATGATGAAAAGTTACTTCGAACTTCTTGCAGCTTGGTTAAAACTTAAAATTAAACAAAAAAAAACATTTTAAAAATTAATGAGATATGTTTACATTTCAGAATTAACAATGTTAATAATTAACATAAACTTTAGAAAAAAAAAATTTTATTGAAACTTACTGCCATAGGTAGATGAAACATAGTATCCCTAAGGTATTAAAAGATCATGAGCGCTTTTTTTAAAAACTATTGAAAATAAAGTACATGAGATGACATCATTAGAAGACGGCGAAAAATATAATAGAATATCATATAAACATTTCAGGGATACTAAAGTTGCAATGGGCTTATTTTAACATAATTCCGAAATTAACAACATTTTTAAAGAAGCAATAACAATATGCTACCATACCAATAAAGACAATTTTTCGCTTGGTTTTTGATTTCAGAAATCAATGAAGGAGATAAAATGTAATTTAAATATAAAAAATATAGTACAGAAGACCTTAATAATTGTGATTTAACTTCTATTTTCTTACATATTAATTAAACATCGAAATTAGAACGTCAATTATGCAAGTCTTTCAACTTTCAAGTACTATTAATCAGTTATGACATAAAAGATTGTAATATTAAAGGAATATCTTTTACTTAAAGCGTGTTTGATATAATGTACATAAATTTGAATAATAATCAAAAAAAAATTTTCAAAATCTTTTATACACAAGATGAAAATGATTATTTTATAGATAGTCCTGGAGAATCCAGAAAAATTAACCTTACGCTAGACACGCATTTACTTTTCCATATCTAGAAGTAAAAATATTTTGTCCATGGCTTGGACAGGCATTGCATCTGTATTGCTTCTGGAATGTCTGACAAGTTACAGAACTTATCGCTTACCTTTTGACTTAGACAATAGTGAGAGTGTATTTTTAGAACTTGAAACTAAAAAAAAAAAATAAATTATGAGAAGTTAATTTAATTCAGTGGGACGAGGCTTTGATAATTCCAAAAAAAAAGCTTTACAAATTGTTGATAGTATGTTGTGAGACTTATAGTATAAGACGTCGCTTTAGTATTAAATCAATATTATAAGAAGAAGCTTCTTAAGAGAAAACAAATAAGTCTTATCTTATACTGTTCAAAAGACTTTTTGACAGTATACCATAAAACTAACTTGCTTATCGTATTCTTTTGGTGTCGTTAAAATCAAGGTTAAAAAAAAAAAAATTCTTGACAAAATTTTCTAGTAACAAAAAATGGTAACAAAACTATAATTATAGATGAAACTATTAAACCATTGTTTTCATGAGACTAAAAGATAGTGTTAAGATTGTAAAAAAAATTTTGTTCTCATAGAAGCAGATTTCCAAAATGATTGCTAATAATTAGAGAAGGAGAAATAAAAATGTGTTTTATTTCTGAATTCTGGAGAACAGATGATATCTGTACTAAAACATTCGCTTACTATGGCAACTTTCTGGTTATTAACGTGATCCTAACTTTAAATAATTAATATCCTTTTTTTCGAAAAATAAGATTATAAGTTAATTAAACGGAGAGACTAAAATTTATGACAGCATTAACAAAGCAACAAATAAAAGTGTTTATAAATTTAATAATAATGATATGCGTTTTTTCATAGAAATTTTATACATATAATTCTTGGGGTGGATAGTAAAAGGAAAGAAATACGGGGACGTTAAGGGGAAGTTCATGTAAAGCTGATGGGATTTAAGGAAAAGAATTGGAGAGGACACTTTCTTAATCATAACTCTATTAAAAATTACGTAAAAACAAGCAAATAACTATGCGAATCAAGGGGGGACTAAGAAGTAGCTAAGGGAAAGGTGGGGAGCGGGAAGGAGCTGAGACTTACTTTCATTCATGCAAGTGTAAAATATAGGGAGGTACAACTTCATATGCGAGATACAGAGAAATACGATATTTTTTAAGAAGTCGGGTGGGAGTGGCAGAGGAGCAGGAGGCGTAGGGAGAGTAAAGATGAATATAAAGAGATAAACTTAATTTCTATTTGGTTCAATTCCATAAGTAAAAAAGAAGAAAAATTAACTTTGTTTAACTTGAATCTGAGGGGGAGTTGTGAGACAGTGGGAGTGAGAAGAGCTGACGATTGCCTTAGAACGATACTGTTATATAACAAAGGTAGATACTTGTATATAAATTTATGTATCAACATGTATATATATATANTGTCTCCTATTTGCTACGTACAAATAAAATTTGGTAGTCTGATCCCTGGACAGTAATTTTTTTTTTTTTTTTTTTTTTTAACGGGGTTACTGTGACAGCTCTAAGGCTAAGTCACAAGGCTACCCACTCATCATACATGTGTGGGGAAGTATTTCCACATTTATTTTTCATCCTTCCTACTGATATTTCATCTAATCCACGGGCACAGTGCAAGTATCTCTGGTGAAACACCTTGCCAGTTATGCTGGCAATCTTTGCACTAATGGTGCATCGGGTCCACTGGCCCCTGTGTAGTTTTCCCTTGGAGAAGGCTCTATATTTTAAGATTTCCACTCCTCGCTTGTTAAGCCGGCACTCTCTGCCATGGCATTGGATCGAGGCTAATTAGCCTCCCCAGAGAAGCCCCATGTTTCAGGGATCACTTCTCGCCGGTAAGGCCAGCGATCGTAGCCGGGCGTATCGGATCCGCTAATCTCTACCTATAGCCCTAACACTAATTTGAATGTACTCAGGCTCGAAGATCTGTGATGCAAGGAAAAACCCTGGAATTTCTCTGAAGCAAAATTCCACGGAAAAAACTGGCTTGAAACAGCCGGGGTTATATAGGAACTTTGGCCTATGAAAACAGCTTTTGAAAAAATTTGCATTTACCAGAATTTTAACCCACAAACCCTAGAACAGCGTTGTAAAAGTAACAAGCACGCATACCACTGAGCCAAGACCACTCCTCAGGACAGTAATTAAGAGAGCTTAAATATTTCTACGTAAAAGGTTATATAAGTGAGTAACAGTAACGTATTACTTTTTTCAGGTCAGCCAATAAAGTTAATGTGTTGCACAACAGAATTTGAGTTGGATCAAGCCAATTTTTATACCTGCATAGCCTAAGGGTATGTTGGGCCTTGGCTTAACTCTGTGACTTTTTATCTTTATTATATATTCTTTAAGTCTTTATTTATTAATTATTAGGAAGTTTTTTTTTAAATACACTTAATTAAATACCTTTATTCCAAGGATTATTGCATCACCTTTATACGTTGCAGTAGGTTATTTAAAATATTGTTTTATAGAAAGTATGGCCTTATAGTATATTGGATGCACTCAAAGTAAAGCCTTACATTTGTATTCCTTAACACTTACTGACTTCTGGTTTTCTATTAGTGTCTTAAGAAAAAAATTGTACTGTTTATAGACGTAGGAATTAAAAAATTAAAATATCGTAATAATAACAGCAAGGGACCTCCTACGAGTCTTCCTTAAACTTTAAATTAGCTTATATTATTAGTGACGAACTACAGTTTCTGTAAATTATTTCAGTAACACACAATACAAAATATGGAGCAATCTGTTAAAGAGTGAATTGTATCTAGATTATTTTTGCATAGCCCGTTTAAGCTTAAAACAAATGTAAACTTAGTGTTTTGAAAAACTAATAATGTTCTTTTGCAAATTTTTAGGATGATCACTGACAGTTTTTTTAAGAAAGCTGATCTTGAAAAATGGCTTATACCTGAGATTGAAAAGACAGACTATGCTGACATAATACAACAATTGTGGCGGCCCTTGGTGAATAAAAATTTGAGTTTTGTATTGCGGTCTTTGTTAAATAAAAATGTTGTCTCTGTATCCTTAAATTTTGAAACTGCGGATGAGCCAGAAATTACTACACAGTCAAAACTATCCATAATTTTTGATTTTTTGGAATATCTGGAAAAACCTTTTCGTGAAACAAAGATGAAGGAAGGAAAAAAGAAAATTTTTCATACGTTTATGATGGCCACCTGTGATAGTCTTCATGCTGCAAAAAATGTTATTCTGATGAAACTAATGGAACAGAAGGTTTTCAAAATCGCTATGGAAAAAAAATTTTCAGGAATTCTTACAACAAACACAAGTCCTCTGACTCAAGTAAGATTTCAAGCCTTATTTTAGATTCTTACATTCTCCAAATGAATTTTTTTTCTTTCTAACGTACTCTAGATTTCAGTTATTAGAGAATGATTAGGAATTATTAGAATAACTTTATCTTGTAGTTATGTAAAGAAAAACAGTTGGCTCGTTTGCTTACGAAAATCCTAAAAATTACTATGCCAATCTTCCCTTCATTACCATTTGAGATAATTTTAAAATTTTTTCGTAATAGTGTGCAGAAAAAAGGTATTTTCCACACTATTTTAAGTGCGGCACATCAAATTTTCCACACTGATGATAAAATGAGTGTGTGGAAAACTTTATTTCCGTCCTCGGGTGGTTTTGGGAGGCTGGTATTTCCTCGGGCGAAAAAGCAGTTTTCCGGAACTCGTTCGAAAAGTCTCCTTTACAAACCTCGTTACGTCCCTCGCCTTCGGCTCGGGCCGCAAACCTCTCGGCTCGCAAACAGAGACTTTTCAAACTCGTAGGAAAACTACTATTTCGGTGTGTGGCAAACATTTTTTATTTTCCAGTGTGCGGAATAGTAGTTTTCCTACGAGTTTGAAAAGTCTCTGTTTGCGAACCGAGAGGTTTGCGGCCCGAGCCGAAGGCGAGGGACGTAACGAGGTTCGTAAAGGAGACTTTTCGAAC